TCGATCTTTGCTATTGAATCTCGACCTCCTTGATGAAAAAAGAAATGAGATATCGCAAAGAATCTCCTCTTATCAAAAGAAAAAAGCGCAGTATTCTAACAGAAGGGTCAAAGGTAGAAGTTTCAAAGGTAGGGATCTCATCCGAAAGAAGTTATTACGAGCACGGAAAGACCCTAAGCATTGTAAGTTGGGCCCCAACTGGGAAGAACTTTTCATAGTGAAGAGGGTGGTTAGGCCTGCAATTATGAGCTTTAGAATGAAGAAGGGAAAGACCTGGCAAACTTATGGAATGTAGATCATCTCAAGAAATTCTACCAATGACAAGCTAGATACCTTTAATTTTAAAATTTCTGTGAATGCCCCTGCTCAGGGAATAGTTATGAATTTTTGAGATTAATGAAATTTTTGTAAATTCTTGATATCAAAATTCTTGAGTATGCAAAATTTTCCTAATGTTGAGGTCGAACCATAGATGAGCTATCCAACTCATACTTGAGGTTAGCTTTTTAGCTTATTGAGTTTTTCAACTTGTGAGCTTATAGGGCTTTTCAACTCATGCTAAAGATGAGCCCTTCAACTCATACTTGAGATAAGCTTTTTAGTTTATCGAGTGTTTCAACTTACGCTAAAGATGAACTTTTCACAAAACCTATCCAAATTCTAAGTCACCAAGTCCAGGGGCCACCTAGAGCTAGGAATCGATGATTAGAATCATAAAGCTTATGACTACTACAAGGCAATCGCCTTCCAACAAGTAAAAGGGGCAGGGATGTACATATACTTCTTGCACAAGGAAAAGAAAAGAAAGCGAATTTTCTATTGCAAAAGAAAGAGATACAAGTTCAAGTTAAAAAAAAAAATATAGAGGACAAAAGCAACGAGGCTACAAGTTCTTAGGAAAAGCATGAAAAATTTATTAAAGAAAGCTAGCCCTTCATCTTGCTAGGTCAACTTCGCCCAGATTGTTGCTTAGTCCCCTCTAGCATAGTTGGGCAATCAAGGAATCAGAAGGCTACGTATCAGAAGGTAGCTCATCACAAGGATCTGCTTCTCCAGACCTCTTTTTGCTCGATCCTCTCCAGCCTTGTCAACTGGCCCTATAGGTAGAGGAGGAATGAAAGAGTCGAAGTCCATATCAGGGAACTTCTCAATGGCCTAGTCTTTGAATTCCTCATAGCCATTGGCATAGTTATCAGCACACTTGACCCTTAGATCTTTAATCGTCTAATCCTTGGCCTTTAGGGTAGACTTTAAATCCTCGAGCTCTAGTTTCAGCTCAGCTACCTCCTAATCATTGGTCTTCAAGGTAGACTTTAAACCCTCGAACTCTAGTTTCAAATCAAATGCATCCTACTCAGCTTTCTCCTTCTTAGACTTGGCAGAGTCCACAACACCGACAATTTGGCCTAACTCTATTTCCCTTCGCTTCAACTTGTCTTCCAGAGTCCTCTCCGAAGACTTCAGCAAGGCAATTTGGGAGGTCTACTCCTCCACTTTATTTTGTATATTGGCAAGGCTAGATAGTCGATCATCAGCCACCTTTTTAGCACTATGAACTCGCCCCAGGAGGGAATTGACATGAACAGCAGCCTGGAAGAGGTGAAACACAAAATAAAATAGCAATAAATGACAGAAATAAGGTCAATAGCTCAAAAGAAAAGAAGAATGGAACTATTACCATTGTAAGACCATGAAGGGCATTCGCAACCTCATCATTAGCGGTAAAAATGGCTGACCTCTGGATGTCTGATTGTGGCAAGATACTCAACAGCCAGGTATCTGCCAAGCTATTGTTGCAAGCCATTGTTGCATGGGAGATAGCCCTTCTCTATCGTAGGAAGGGTTGAGGTCAGCTTTGGGGGAACAACTAAAGTAACCTCAAGGGTTGATGATGGCAAAGGTGGAGAAGCACTAAACTCTTTGGAAGCTGCCAGAGAAGGATCAACAGCAAGTGACCTCTTTCATTGATCGTGACCTTTGAGGTTGTGGTAGTAGAAGTGGAAGAGCATTGAGCTCATTCGAAACTGGTAAACTTCCTCAATGGTCGAAGTGACCTTGGGGATCTGATCTCCCTTAGGAGGATCAGGAGCTTCCTTCCCCTTAATCCTAAGAATCTTAAACCTAGTGTTAAGGGAAGACTCGGGATCGAAGGGCTTGGTCAGGTGCTTTTTTTTCTCCCTTCTCTATTTATGGCCTCTTAAACCTCATCTAGTTCAAGTGCCATGGGGTTAATATCTACAAAGGAAGAGAGATAAGATCAGGAAAGTACGAGGAGAAACAAAAACCAAAATGAAAACTAAGTCAAATGTTGAGCTCATACCAACAAGGTCTTGAACTTCAAGAAGGAAGTCTGAGTCCTCGGAGGGGGTAGGTCTTCTAATGGGGACTGGAAGCTTTTTGTGCACTAGAGGCCCAAAGTCATACTTTGCTAGCTTCTCAGAAGAAATGAGATCCTTGATAGTCCTTGCTTCACGCTTCTCTATCCTTTCAACCTTGAGCTCTTCAGAGGGAATTAACTTAGGTTAGCTTTCTACCATGTTACAAAAAAAAATCGTTAACACTAGAACAAGAAGGTCAAGTCAAAAACAAAACCTTGCTAGAAAACAAGCACTCACTCAATTTTCTATCCTCCCCTAGAGCTAGGGGACACGAAGAAAATCAAAGACATCATTTGGATCCTTCTCCCAAGCGTCACACGAACATGGAAGAAATGCTCCTTCAAGTTTTTATGAGAATAAAAAGCACCTGTGACTAAGGTATAGGCATTGACACATTTAGAGATGTAGAAGAAGCCATGTTCTAGGGAGCACTTGACATTATAAAAGTGAAGGAGCTTGGCCATGGAAGGAGTTGGTCCTAGGTCATTCTCTCTCTAGAATATTAGAAGGCCTACCAATGTCCTCCAGAAGTTGGGAGACATCCTCGAGGGGCAGATGTTGAAATAGCAAAGAAAGCTTTTCAAAAAAGGATGCAAGGGGAATCTGACACATGACCCGAAAGCCATAACAAAGAAGTAGGTATTCCCAGTCAGATAGATGTTGTAACATTCTATGTCTGAGGGGGTATAAACTGTGATGCCAATAGGGAATTGGTAACAACTAATCAAAGACTGGAGTCTACGCTCAATAATATAACTTTGGGGTAAAGGCACGAAGGATCCCTACAAATCTCCAGATCTGCCCAAAGTGCTGACCTAGCTTAAGGGGGAAGCTCGGGAAGATTTCGACCAGGGGGAGAAGCTCGAGAAGGTTTGGTATCCCTTTTCCTAGGAGCCCTTTTTCACTTACCTTGTCCAGAAGCCTTCTACTTGGGCATATTCGCGAGGAGGAGAGGGGGAGCCCTCTGTTAAGTCAAGCTCCTCACCCGAGGAACCACAGTGGAAAGATTTTCACCCTCTTCCAAGTCTACCACTTCCATTTGGTGAGAAGACTCAACTTTGGGGTCCTCATTCCCGTCCCCAAAATACGGGAGATGGAAGATCCAGTAGCTTCAAAAGAAGTTCTAGACATTACTAAAGTTGGGGGTATGAAATAACCAAGCTTAAAATAAAAGTAAAGGGATATACCTAGAGAGCAATCCTCAATAGCACGAGTGTCTAAGCGTCAAAGACCAAGAAGAAAAACCCTAGTTGTGGCAAAAGGATCTAAGAAGAGGGGGAGAGCTACTAAAAACCTACCTAGACCCCTAAAGTATCGAAAACCAAGAACTAAGAAATGGAGTCCCTAAGACCACCATTGAGGATCAAAATGATCCAGGCTTGATACAAGGAAGCTAAAAGAAAGAAGGAAGATGTACCTAGAAGACGAAGATGGCAAGCAAAGGCGAAGAACTTAGACGCAAACTAGACAAGCAATGGAGGACCTAGGTCCGAAATGTCCTAGGCTGCTTGAATCTCCAAATCGATTCCTCTCAAACCTCACAAGAACACTCGAGGAATCACAAGCACTCTAGAAATAATAAGATGATTTAGGGAAGAAGGGATTGAGATTTGAAAGGTTTTCGTAAAGAGAAAAATTGAATTGAAGTGCGGGTTTAAATAGAAAAAAAATTGGCAATTTTCTCTCTCCATGCGCATTAAATGCATTTGTACATCACTCCATGTGGCACGATATAACTGGCACGACCCTTATTATGAGGCATTTCCTGTGCCCCACGTCTACGCAATGCCATAATTAGCGAAACCTTCCTATCACATCTTTTCAATTGTCCTAAGCATATTGAGTTGGCTTTGAAGAAAAACGATGCCTCAGCAAGACGAAGAGCTCAGTCCCGAGCTACATCCAAGACAAGCAGGTCAAGCTCAAGACTGGGGGGCAACTGATGATACCCAAAAATGGCATCAGTAATAAATCAAAGGTTATCTAGGTAATTGGTTCTAAAAAGAGCCAACAGATAAGATCTATCCCTCAACCTTATGGCTATTCTCCCATCCTTAGATGAAAAGCCAAGGTTGTTTGCACACATCCTTAGTTATAGGACTCCAGGTCACCCAAGAATGACCTAAGTTGCCTGTGCCCAGGTCGTCCATGATACACATCAAAGGGAATTATCATCTCTAGCTCTGGACAAGTGTTTGGACTGAGCTCATTTACTCACAAGCTAGCTAAAAGAACAAGTGATCGTTCCAAAGCAAAACGATCTCACAACAAACTCTTCTAGATATACAGAGGGTCACAATGCATCCAAGCTTGAAGAAAAGTGACAAGGTGACCTCAATGTCTTCTAGAAAGCCATGTCACACTTAGAAAATGTAGCCTCTAACAGCCCAAAATTCTCTCAATGAAATCCTAACAAGTTGGGGAATCATGTAATAATGACATAGGGACCACCCCACCTATGGGCATAAATACAATGGCCTTCTCCATGTAAAAGCATCTAAAACAATCCAAAGAATTGAACAAATTGTAACCTTATGTTCTTCTCCAAGCAATAGACAATTTTCTCAAGGAGTAAGAGACTCCATTAGAGTGGATTAGTCAAATTTTTCAGCTAGTGAACCACTATAATTTATGTGTTCTTACTCTTGTTAGCTCGTACTATAATCACCGGTTTTACTGTAGCATTGGGTAGAACTACCAGGCTCCATCTCGAATCATCTTCTTCTCCACTAAATCACTTGCACACTATTGCTTACAAGCCTTGAGCTCTTCAGCTTAAGCATCCCCCACACGTTTCTAGTGCATAAATCATCTGACAATGATAAATAAAATGACTTAATGACTTACAAAAGAGAAATTTGGCCGGTTGATGTAAAGCATGGGCTTCACAAGGTTTAGAGAGAGAATTAGATGAGCCCAATTTTATTTTTATGACTCGAGCATATGACGTGTATAACAATATATAATAACCTAATGTAATGGGTTAAGCCCTACCACTTTTTATACCTAACAATGACAAAGATCTTAGCACGAAAAAAAAAAAATATATATATATATATATATATTGAACATGTGAACATATATATGTTGACCAACTTATTAGAGATTTATCTTGTCCATGGAATTTTTACCAGGCAACAAACATTTAACAATAGCAAATGAGTCTCACTAACTCTAAATGTAGCTCAAGTAATAACAGAGATGAGGTATAAACTCAAACATCTTGAATTCGAATCTTAATAACCCATTTTGGACTAGGCCATGAAGATGCATAAATTGACACAAATATCTGTAACCGTTGAATAAAAAAAAAAGAAGCAAATGAGCCTCACCTTCCAGGGGAGGGCATTTGACTCTTTGTGAAGTATAACAATGATAGAATATTCATCATGTGTATAAGATAAATCCCACTAAAATTTATAAAGTGAATGCACCTCAAAAGTTAATAAGTTTCTCCCAGAAGGTGGTATAGATCTATACTACTTCTAGATGTCAACAAAAGTGAAAAATATTTGTTAGACCAAAATAACCTTAACAAACTAATATATATCCTACTTTTCTATAATTGATAACATTATTATATCATAATAATTGTCATAATTATTTTATTATTGGCTACTATTTAAGTTTTGGATAAACAATCTTGATTGTTGGTTACTAGGATTTTAATATTATAATGAATAATTACAACATCAATTTTTTGCACATACTTAGTTTTAAAACCTACAATCAGTGACTTTTTGTTTTCTCTTCCACAAGTTTATATCTTTATCTATTTTCATTTTACATCAATTCATTAATCAAACTCCCAAAGTAAGCTGAAAGTAATGTATAGAAAAAGAATCATCAGTGGTTGTTTTAGCTTTCTACCTCCCTCATCTTCGACTTAGTTGAGATAATTATTTTTTTATAGCAGTATATATCTATTATGTTTTTTTTTTTTTTTGTACAAATGTTAGGATCACTATATCTAAGGCTCACATCCTTGAAAAGGATTTCCCTCTACTCCAATATGCTTAGCTTGGAGTGTCTTGAACCTAACTTGATTGGAGATATGATGCGTGAATACATGTTTCTTGTGATTTGCATCTGAAATCTTAAAGAATTTGTGTCATTTTTACCCGTACAAGAGGTGTGAACACTCTTATTGAGATTTTCTGTTTTCATACATATTAAACTTTATATTTGCTATTAGTAGCTTCATTTTATTACATTCCAAAAGTTATGTTTGATTCTTTCAAAAAAATCAGTTAAAAGTTGGATTGTAATTCTATATCTTGATTCATAAGCATATATTTGATAACATAGTTGTTATACCATATCAGCAAAGTTAAAAATATAAAAATAAAATTATAATTCAAAATGTCACATGTGCAAGAACTAGTACTTAAAAAAGAGGTGATATGGCACCGTAGTCAAACCCTTAATATTCTGTCTCCTTATAAAGCTACAACACACAATGAACTTGCAACTGAAGGTGCAAAATGAACCGAATCGAGTTGAGCATTAAACTCAGCAAACTCAAGTCGTTAATTTGCGAAGACGTCTTAAGATCTTGATGAGCTATATATATCTTGTTCAATTTTTCAAGTTTTTAATTTTTTTCAGACTTCGGACTTGAGCATTTATTCGAGTTTAAACTTGAGTTCAAACGTGTATTCAAGTTCAAGCTTGTCTGAAAGAGCCAAACAGGGCAATGTGTTACGGATGAACATATTTGAACGAGCCTTAATTCAATCCTATACAACTGTTTATTTTAAAAAATGGACAAACCTAAGGAATATTAATCCAAACCGTTCCCAAACTATTCATGAACAACTCAATTCATTTGCAGTGTGCATTCCACATATAGAGTTGAGAAAACAAAAGTTAGGCAAAGTTCACTCCGAGAAATGAAAAAAAGGCACTCTTTTGTATGTGATTCTCTATAAAAGTATGAATTACACTCAATTGAATCAACAATTGAAGTGGTTTAATGTCACCAAAGCATTCCATCAAATCATCCAAAAAATAAACAGGAAAATATGTAAGTGAATCAGAGCACCTTAGATTTTTGTTTGGCATTGAACTTGATTGACTTCAAAGCCATCTTTGGAGCTGCCATGCAAGAACAGTTCTGAGC